CGGCTCCTCGCCGCCGCCGCCCTGGCCGGCCTGGCCGTCATCAGCCGAGGTACCGCAGCGCGGGGGCGGGGGCTCGGCCGGGACGCCGGGGTCCCCGTGGGGGTCGGGCTGAGGGCTAGGGCTGCACCCCGGGCCGGGGGAGGGGAGGCCCCGGACGCAGACGCGGAGCTCCGGGCTGGGGAGGGGGCTGCATCCCTGGCCAAGAAAAGGGGTCCTTGAAGTCCGGGTGCGCGCCCCGGGCAGGGGTCTGCGTCCCCCGGTACATCCTAGGCCTAGGGGCGGAGGTCGTTTCTCCACCCTGTGAGCGTGTCGCAGACACCTGATCCTGGCAGGGGTCTCAAAGGCCGGGGTGGGGGTTCCCTGGAGGGCTACCTCTTTGAATTGAGTTGTGGTACCCCGCGGGGGTCTCATCCCTGTCTGACGAGGGTACCTGAGGAAGTCCTTGCCTGGGGCTGGGGTCCAGCTCTCCTGGCAGAAGTGGGGGATGGATGTCTCTCCAGGTCAGTGAGAGGTGGGGACGGAAAGCCCACAGACCCAAGTCCCCAGGCCAGGACAGACCCAGCAGGGGCAGAGAGTCCCCCGCGGGGCCTCTGGGTTGAGTGCTGGTATTGGGGCATTGTAGTTATGTGCTGGGGATCCAAAAGTTGGGGTGTTGGGCGCGGGCTGAGATGCGTATCTGCCATCCCGGTGCTGACTGGGATGAGAGATGAAGGAAAGAAGGCAGGCAGGCCAGGGGCCACTGCGTGAGGAGGGAGGCCAAGGGTTAAGGCAGGGTCATGGAGTTCATCTTTGCTCACTGGGGCAGGGGCCGAGGGGGAAGGTGTTTGGGGGAAGGGAGTCCTAGGGACAGGACTTGGGGCTGGGCCTGCCAGGGAGAGCAGGGTCAAGGAGGTGTCCCCAAGGGAAACAGGGCAAGAGGGCAGGAAGACCCTGGGGTGCTCAGCGGCACAGAAATAGGGTTAATCCAGCTTCCGGGGTTTTCCTAGGCCCCTGACCCAACCACAGGTTGGTCACAGTCAGGGACCCAACACAGGGACCCCAGCCCCCAACGCAGTGACCCCAGCAGCCTCAGGGACGCTGCCGCTCTTGGCCTCTTGCCTGGACACGCACTGGCATAGAAACTCTGTTCCCAGGCACACCTGCAGATGCCCCGCCAGCAGACACCCACGCCCCTGACGCAGATCTGCTGAGCCCGGGCGGGTGCGGCAGGCCACAGCGTCGGCCCCCAGCTGGTGCAGAAGGCAGCCGGCCTGCCCGCCTCGCTGGCCGCCCGCGCTGCGCCTCCCGCTTTTTGTGCCTGTCCCTGGTCTCTGGGGGGTCTCTGATGCTTGGCCGGTTCCAGAGTCTCCTGCCCGTGGTCTTTTGCGTGCTGGTGGTGACAGTCCATCTGTCTCTGTCTCTAGTCTTTGTGTCTCGTCTCTGCTGGTCTCAGCACGGTGTCACTTCTGTGTCTCCTGCTGTCACACTGCTCCCACCGTCACCCACGTGTGAGCCCCTCCTCTCCCCTCCTTTCCCCCCACCCCACTCCCTGGACGCATTTCACCTCTACCCTCCGCCGCTCTTCTCTCAAGGTAGCTTCTTCTTCCCCACTCCTCTGGCTCCTGGGCCCCAAAAACCATAACTGCCCTGGAGTCCTGAAGGGAGAGCCCCAGCAAAGCCACGTGACCTTGGTTGAGTGCCTCCCCACCCGTGGTCATGGTTCCCACATTCGAGAACCAAGGTGGCAGAGGATGGCTTGGGGTGAGCTCACAGCACCCACCTAAGGATAGTTTGTGCCTAAAAGCCCGCTTCCAAATGTGTGAAATATCGCATCTTGGGCTCACGATGTTGTCCAAGTTAGGGGTGACACGGCCCACCTCACTTACACCCCTGCTGCCCCATAGCTGTCTGCTCAAGCCCATGCCTCGCCCTCCCAGCAAGGCCAACACAGCAACCGGAGTGCAGTCTGAGGAGAGGACTCCTTGACTTTTTGATATTTTTCCCAAAACAGAAATAAAATGAGTCCATTGCTGTGCAACTGGCTTAATTCCACTTAACGAAAGCTCCCTGGCATCCGTAAATACTGAGCTACTTTTAATTTTTTTTCCTAAATCCTTTATGCCAACACACACACACACACACACACACACACGTGAATATTCATTCACAAAAGTAGCTGCACAGTCCTCACGTACAACAATTCAACCAGGTCCGATAGCAGCCACAACCATGACCCGTGAGTTGAGGGCTCCCGTGCTTTCTGGCAGTGGATGGGTGGGGAGAGCCAGGAGGCCGCAGAGCAAGCCCAGCAGCCCCTCAGCTCTGCCTACTGCTCGGATCTTTAGTTGAGATTCTTGCTGTCCACTGTGCTATCCACTTCTGAGCCCTGGGTTTGATGGAGTGGGGGCTCAGTTTGAGGGATTCATTCAGCAAATGTTGACAGAGCTCATGGTTGCTGCTGTAACCTCAGAGGATGGAGGGATGGATGGATGGATGGATGGATGGATGGATGGGGGGTGGA